GTAACGTTGTTATATTTTGGAGCTGGGGACATGGCCCAATTGCTATAGTACTTGGCTAGTGTGCATATCACCCAAGTTGCAGTTCCCAGCTCTCCATAAAAGCAGGTGTGTGGTGATGCTGTTGTCCCAGCACTTGGATAGTACAGGCAAGAATATCAGAAGTTTATTGTCATCTTTGGCTACATACTGAGTTTGAGGCCAGCATAGGTAACATGAGCTCCTGCTTTTTTTTTTTTTTTTTTTTTTTTTTTCCTCAGCCCTTTTTAGGTAGCATTCAGTACCTTTACAACACTGCAATCATGACCACTATTTGCTTCTCCAGCTGAGCTACAAAGATGGTTCAGTACTTAAGGGCACTTGCTGTACAATCATGGGGGTCAGAGCTTAGATCCCAGCACCCACGTTAACAACACAGCTGGCCCTCACACACCTTTCAGCCTAGCTTAGAAAACTCAAGCTCCAAGCTTAGGGAGAGACATTGCTTCAAAGAATTAAGCAGAGGATGACTGGAGAATGCTGGACACACTTTTCTGATATACACACATGCACACAGACACAAAGGCACGTACAGCCATACACATAGACACACAGATGCATCTTTTTATTTATTTGAGTTTGTTTTGGTTTTATTTATTTATTTGTTTGTTTGTTTATTTATTTATTTATTTAGGACAGGGTTTCTCTGTGTAGCTTTGTAGACCAGGCTGGCTTCAAACTCACAAAGATTGGCCTAAAGGTGTGCTAAGAAAAAGAGCGGCGTGGGGGGGGGCGGGGCGTGTGTTTTCCTTAATTGCTATCACACTCTGAGCAATGACTAAGGGCCGGGCCGGTTAGGTTCTGATGCTCTTAAACAGTTTCTGTTGACTGGACTTCAATTTGTTTGCTGTTTGCCTCATAAGGAAATGGTTACCAGGAGAGGTCGTATTTGGCAGCTATAAGGTAGTTCACATTGAGGAACTAGGAACTGTGTAAACGGTGACTAATCCCTGATTCTAACGAGCAGCTGAATGGCTAGGCGTGTGGCTTGGTCAGTAGAGTGCCTGTCCAGCATGCACACCATAAACTGAGCACGGCACCCCATTACTCAGGGAGGTACAGGCAAGAGAATCAGAGGTTCAAGGTCATCCTCAGCTACATAAGGAGTTGGAGGCCAGCTGGGATACTTGAGACACTGTCTCCAAAAAACAAAAATCACAAGGCCTTTAAACTCAGCACTCAGAAGGCAGAGGCAGGTGGCTCTCTGTGAGTTCTAGACCAGCCTGGTCTACAGGCTAGCCAGGGCCACATAGTGAGACCCTGTTTTTTAAAAAATTGAAAATAATTGTTGCAGAAACATAGAATTGTAATCATGTATTACAGACACACACACAAACAGTGATCCTGGGAATTAAACCCTGACCTTTGTATGAAGAAAGCTAACAATCTATCACTGACTACCTTCCCTCCCTGCCCACTATGTATGCATAAACCACCTTGTGCTAATTCAGTCATTTGATGACAAATATTTATTGCAACCATGTTATAGAAGACCTGGGTTCGATTCCCAGAACCCCCTGACTTTCATGAATAATGCTGTTATGTACAGTCACATACAAGTACTCCAGGCATCGGTGGCTCACACCTTTAACCCCAGCACTCTGTGGAGCAAAGGCTACACAGAGAAACCCTGTCAAAGCAAAAACAAAGGAAACTCACATACAAGTAAATGTTGAGTTTTTCATTATTCTTTTTTACTTCTTGGGGATACATAACTAGGGGTGTGGTTGCTATGTCACGGAAGTAGCTATTTTAGTTTCTTAAGGAAGCCACAGACATTCTAGCAGCTGTCCAGTGTAACCTGCTCCTTAAGAGCTCTGGCCCTCCTTTGTCTCAGCAATATTTATTTTCTAGTTTTTCTGAAATAGTGTTTCATTGATTTTGATTGATACCCACCCCCAACACTAATGATACATAGAATCTTTTCGTGTACTTGTGGGGCTAGCCGCCCTGGTGTTTACCCCAGAGTGAGCCATCCTGGTACCCTCATCAGAAATGACAAATGGGCAAGCTTGTTTCTAAACTCAGCTCTGGCCTGTGTACCCCCAAGTCCTGAGGCCAGTAGCATCTACTGAGTATTACAGTAGCTTTAAGGTTGAGGCTGGAGAGACAGCTTATGGGTTGAGAGTACACTTGCTGCTTTTTCGGAGGAGGACTAATGGTTGATTGCCAGCACAGTCATCTGACAGCTCACAACTTTCTGTAACTCCAGTCCAGGGGACCCAAAACCCTCTTGTGGCCTCTGTGGGCCCCTAAAGCATGCGCACACATAGAGACCCATGTAAAAACTATAAAATGTGCCTTTAAGACGCCTCACATTAGTAAGTGTGAGTCCTCTGGCGGTTGTTTTGTTTTTACAGCACGTTTGGTCCTTCAGAGTCTCTTGCATTTCCATGTGAATTGTAGGATGGGTTACATTGTAGGATAGATTCAGCAAAGAAGCCAAGTTAGATTTTTTTTTTTTTTTTTTTTTTTTTTTGCCAAAGACTGTGTTGGTGCGTCAATTTGGGAACCATATTAGCTACTTTTTCCATTGCTGTGACAAAATGCCCCACAGAAGCACATGAAGATAGGATGCGTTTTGCCTCTCCTGAGAAGGGACAGAAGGCCATCATGGTGGCAGGATTGTGAAGTTGCTGTTCACATTATGTCTGCAGGCAGGAAGCTGATGCATGCTGGTGCTCAGTTCACTTTCTCCGTTTTGTTCAACCCAAGACCCCAACCGATGGGATTGTGGTGCCCACGGTCAGAACTGGTCTTCCCATCACTTGGCTGAAGCATCTGTCTTAGTTAGGGTTTCTGTTGCTGCAATGAAACACCATGGCCAAAAAGCAAATTAGGGTGGAAAGGGTTTATTTGGCTTACACTTGCACACATTGTAGTCCATTACTGAGGGAAGCCAGGAAAGGAACTCAAACAGAGCAGGAACCTGGAGGCAGGAGCTGGTGCAGAGGCTATGGAGGGGTGCTGCTTACTGGCTTGCTCCCTGTCTGTTCAGCCTGCAACCACCAGTCCAGGGATGGACAGCCCCACCCACAACGGGCTGGGCCCTCCTCCATTGATCACTAACTAAGATAATCCCCTGCAGTCAGATCTTAGGGAGCCATTTTCTCGATTGAGGTTCCCTCCTTTCAGATAACTCCAGCTTATAGCAAGTTGATGTAAACCCAGACAGCACAACATCTAATCTGAAATCTTATTTCAACCCTGTGTCATTCGATACTGCTCATTTCACTTTCCTTCTAGAGGCACTACATTCTGTGACTAATCACAGACTTCTAAGGATGCAGAGAGAAAAAGTTAGTGGAAATCAAGGACATGTTGACATGACTCACTGTAGCAGTAATAGTCCCATGGAGACCTATACGGTAGATATAACTTGCTGTATTTTCTGTTAACTATCACGTGTACATATATGACTTGAAAAATGTTTATAACTGTGGGTAAAAAAAAATTATTTTCTGCCTTTAATCACAGCACTTAGGAGGCAGAGGAAGGCCGATGATCTTTGTAAGTTTGAGACCAGCCTGGTCTACAGAGCTAGCTCCAGGATTCCAGGACAGGCTCCATAGCCCTGTCTTGAAAAACAACAAAAAAAAAAAAAAAAAAAAAAAAAAAAAACTTATTTTCTTATTTTGGTTTATCTTTGTTTTCCAACTTTTCTATATTATTTACAGCAATAACTTTAGGACTTTAACTATAGGCTACGAACTCCTCGAACTCACAGAGATCTGCCAACCTCTGCCTCTGGGATTAAAGGTGTGCACCACCAATTCCCACCTAAGTGCTTTTATTTTTATTTTGTATGTATGGGTATTTTGCCTGCATGTATATGCATGCCTGGTACCCACAGAAGATGGTGTTGAGTTGGAACTGGAGTTACAGTTAGCTGTGAGCCATTATGTGCTTGGTGTGGGGAGTTGAAACCAGGTCCTCTGTAATAGCAACACATGCTCTTATTGTTGAGCCATTTCTCCAGCCTTAACAGTCAACGTTTTTGCCTCTAAGTCATAATGAAGAAACTGACACTTAAAGTGCTTAAGGAATTACCCACATTCGTGTGAACTATTTGTGCCGGAATCAATACTAGAGAACAACAGTCAGGAGGCTGAGTCAGGGAGATCATGAGGCCAGTATGAGCGACTTAAAAGACCTAGTTTCAAGAAACAGGCTGAAGAGATGGCTCCGCAGCTAAGAGCACTTATTGCTCTTCCAAAAACCCAACTGCAATTCCCATCGCCCACGTGGTGACTCACAACCCTCTGTTACTCCAGTCCCAGGGGATTGGATGCCCTCTTCTGGCCACCACAGCACCAGGCATGCTCTCTGTAGTCACTGCTACTCAGGAAGCTGGGTGGAGCATCACCTGGGCCCGGAGTGTGAGCGACTTAATGAGATGAAGGGAAAGCATGAGAGGGGGGGAAGGAAGGACGATTGAAAGGGAAAAGAAAGGCTCCCTGTTATCAGAAGTTTGGTAACCTCGCCTTGAGCAAATTGCTCAGCCTTTCCGTGTATCTGACTTGTCTTAGAAGGCATGCAATCTAACCATGACATGATAATAAATGGTGGAGAGGTGAGAAAAATCCAGGTGTCCAATAGTAAGACAACTGTCACAGTTGTGATGAACATGTACATTACTTTGTAACGAAACCATTAGCAAGCATATTTTAACAATACTGAGGTGGGACTAGGGGGTACATACACCTCAGTGACCTCTGTAAGAGGCTTTGGGTTTGATACCAAAACTGCCAATTAAAAATGACATGCTAGGGGCAGTGGAGGCGCACGCCTTTCATCCCAGCACTTGGGAGGCAGAGGCAGGAGGATCTCTGTGAGGCCAGCCTGGTCTACAGAGCGAGTTCCAGGACAGACAGAACAACAAAGAGAAACTCTTTCTCAAAATACGGTACCGAGGAATGGTTCCTATATTTGCTTTCAACTCCATGCTCACATTTCCAATTACCATGCCTACGTCTCTCCTCTTGGGTCAAGTGAAGATAAACCAGAGTAGTAGTAAGTAATGGGCCAGCAGCAAATTCATTTCCTGTGCCCACTCTACCACACCTGGTTCTCCAGCAGTGGCTCCTGCCTCAGGGAGAAAGTGCCTTCCTTCCTCCCTCTCCATCTCTCCTCTGCTTCCTTTCCACTCAGTCTCGGAAGCATGTTGGTACTGCCTCCCAATTTCATCTCCAGTCTGATCCCTTCCCATCATGCTTTCTGGGCCTGTGCACAACTTAGGACTATTGCAACAGTCTCCTAAATGATTAACACCCAATTCCCTTTCCCCTACTAACCAAGTCTCTTTGTAATACAAACAGAGTAATGGGCAAACATTCTGCACTCTGATCACACTTGCCCCTGCTTAAACCTCTTCAGGGGCTTCTTTTGCTACTTAAATAAAAATACAAATGCCCAAGAGCTCTGTGTGATCAGAGAGTTTTTCCCCCCCTACCTAGTGATGTGGCCACCAGGTCAGGTTTAATAATTTGCCACTACCCCACCCACACCCTCACTAAGCCAATATCCTTAAATGTTAGTCAAACATTTATCTTAAAGCAGGCGGGCAGAATTTTCTTTTAGATTCCTTTACCAGTTCACTTCCTCTAGCCAAGACAGAGTCAATATTCTAAAGATTTTTTTTTTTTTTTTTTTTTTTAATTCTGGAGACTGAACTCAGGTCCTTTCACGTGTCAGGCAAGCAGCACTTCTCACTGAGCTATAGTCCAGTTCCTGAAATAATCTGGTAGGCTTCTCACGTCTCTGACTTTTATTCTCTCATCAGTAATGTAAAAAGAGGGGAGAGGGAAAGGCAGGGAAGGGGTGAGGAGCTCGTTAAAGGGGTTTTTTATTCAAATAACAGAAAAAGCCCTTGTTTCTAAAACTGTAGTTGTATCATGTACTAGTTCTTGAGATCTTGAAAAAGTTCAGTCATCCAGAACTACAAATCATATCACATGACATTCGGTTCTCTTGAAGAGCGTTACTATCCTATGGCTGGCCTCGAACTCAAAGAACCTCCTGCCTCTGCCTCCTGAGGGCTGTCAATTAAGGCATGTGCCACACTGATGGGCTTCCCTAAAAGAATTTTTAAGGTTTTTTTTTCCTGCCTCATTTGAATTATTTGAATTATTAAGAATGTATTGTTGCCTGGCGGTGGTGACACACGTCCTCGTCTGGCCTCCAAGGCCACCCGCGCAAAGGTGGTACACACAAATTAAATCTTTGGAATCTTATGTGTTAAATAAAATAAATAAATAGCCCGAGAGGGGGCGTGGTGAGACACATCAATCCTACGCACCCAGGAGGCACCAGCTTGAGGCTAGCCAGTCCACAGAGCAGTACAGTCTCAAATACATACATATTCAGAAAGAAAGAAAAGGAAAAAATCCGTGGTAATTTCACAGGGCCCTAGATACCGTCAAGAAAGAGATTACGACCAGGAACGAGAGTGCTGAAGTGTTTGTTTCTAGACGGGAAAGACCCGCGCGGAACACGTTTTCGTGCGGAGTGGGAAAAGCACCGCCAGCAACGGAGAAGTTCGAAAACCCGGCGGGCGACGCAGCGAAGCGGCTCCGGGCCGCCAGGGGCGACGCAGCGCCAGCCGGTCGGGACAAGCTCCGCCGCACGAGGGCGAGGGGACGGGGAAGACGCGCGGCACGCCGCCGGAGCTCCGCCGCGGACAGCACGCACGCGCTGGCCCCTCCCCGGGGGCGGGGCTGCGCCGGAAGAGGAGCGGCCCGCCGGAAGGGGAGGGCCCGCGCGCTCGAAAGTCGCTGGCGCCGCTCTCATGTCAGCAGAAGAGGGCGGAAGCGCGGGCTACAGGATGCGGTTCCTGGTGGCGTTGCTGCTGCTAAGTGTCGCAGTGGACAGTAAGACCCCCCGGCCCCGGCCCTCTCTCCCCCGGGCTCCCCCGTCGTCGCCGAGGCGGGGTCACCGCCGGAGCCGGCCCCGACCCTCTGACATCTCCATCCACCCTCCTCCCGTTCGGCCCTCGCCGCCGGCGTCTTCCAGCTCTGAGAAGTCAAGCCCCCTCTCTTCTCTCGGCCTTTCCTCCCGAGGACTTAACAGCTTTCTCTGTTTCAGGAGCTGCGCCGCTGCCTCGTAAGCCAAACGGCAACCCGGGTGACGATCATCCTCCGGCTCAGCCTTCGATGGAAAAAGACTCCAGCCAGACTCCCTCGTCCCCGCCTCCAAAGAAGGAAGCGGCTTCTAAGCCGGGAGAGCCTGGCGGCCCGACGGGGCAGGAGCAGCAGCCCACTAAGGTAGAACCAGACCAGCCGCTGGGGTCGACTACGGCAGCAGTTGCCAGTTCGGCGGGATCTGGACAGCAGGTCGCTGCAGCCAATCCCCCCAACGGAGGGTTGGATAATCCCCCAAATCATCCCGAGACAGCAAACACCAAGTCAACGGGAACTGTACAGCAGCCCCCGCCACCCGATCCCAAACCGGAGGAATCTGGTCAGAAGCCCACAAAAGATGATTCGGACAAGCACACAGAAGATTCGGACAAGCACACAAAAGATGATTCGGACAAGCACACAGAAGATGATTCGGACAAGCACACAGAAGATGATTCGGACAAGCACACAGAAGATGATTCGGACAAGCACACAAAAGATGATTCGGACAAGCACACAAAAGAAGATTCGGACAAGCACACAAAAGATTCGGACAAGCACACAGAAGATTCGGACAAGCACAAAGAAGATTCGGACAAGCTCATCTCCAAACCTTCAGATAAGGAGACCGAGCTAGCTGGAAAAGGACAGAAACCGACTATTACTTCCAAAGCTGAGTCTGGGGAGAGACCAGCAGGGGACTCTGACTTCTCTTTAAAGCCAGGGAAGTCTTCAGAGCCTCCTGAAGCTGTGGAAACCAAGGACACTGAAGAGGGTGATACGGAGCCGGAAGAGGGATCGCCGCTTGAAGAAGACAATGAAAAGGCGTTGGACCCTTCCTCCAGTGAGAACCGAGAGGGGACGCTTAGGGAGTCTTTGAATGACGAGAAGGGTGACTCTTATAAGGACAGTTCCGGAAGCACCGGTGCGGAGAGCAGCCACTTCTTTGCATATCTGGTGACCGGAGCTGTTGTTGTTGCTGTCCTCTATATTGCTTACCACAACAAACGGAAGGTAAGAGGAGACTGGGGTGCCCTAGCTCTGAGAGCTTGGTGTATGAGCAGAGCTATCTGTCATTCATTCATCTGCTTGTGAGCTCTTGAGGACTTTAAGATCAACTTCAGTTTTTCCTCAGACCCTGCTAAGGCTTACAAAACCCTAGTTTTGTAACTCATGTGTTTTCGTCATGTGACCTGTTTCCTTGTGTCCTACTGTGAAAGTGCCAAGTTGGACATGAATCATGACCTGACCTAATTGAGTTCTCCTCCCATGGCTTGGAGCTCAGTTCTTACACAGCCACTGTGGACCAGAGCTCTCGACATGTAGACCTCTTCCCTTTTTTCCGTGCTTGAGACAGTTTACCATTTCTAGCTTCTGTCCCAACTGTCTTGCATCTGTGGGCAGGAAGAATATTTTCAGTTACACAGTCTCTAATACCAGTAGCATAAAGCCCAAGGGTAGTTCTTCTGACACCAACAAGAGTTAGAGGCAAACCTAGAAGTTGCATTAATGTACACGTGTTTGGGGTTAGAGTGGCACCCATGTCCTTTAGAAACAACTCTGATGACAAAATGGTTGTATTTCCTAATGAGCCGTGAGATCTAGAAGATAATTTCAGTAGCCAGCTTCATGGGAGAGTTCAGTATGTGATGGCCATTGGCCACATGGCTGTGAAGAACAAGCAAAGGCCAGGAAAAACGTGCATTCTTTATCCTACACCCAAATGTTTGTGATGAGAGCGATAAGTCAGAGTGAATTGTTGAAGAAAGGTGTGAGTGCAAAGCATATATTTGTAGGTAGGAAACAATCAGTGGTTTCTTTTTTTCTTTCCTTAAAGCCTTGACCTAGAGCTCTTTGGCAAGGGAACTGGCGGACCTTTGATTCTATCCCCACAATTAAATCATACAGATCCCACAGGCTACACCCTCCATCTGTTGTTCTCTTAGATAGTATATAGGACTTTCTCGTAACCAAGCCCCTTTTAAAATCTTTACAGTTTTACTACTTTTGTGGTGCTGGAGGCTGAACTCAGGTTATGTGCATGTTAGGCAAACATTCCACTACAGTGCTGTATCTCATGCTTGATACAGTGTTTACCTCGTATGCCTTATTTGAACCCAGCACTGAAAAGACAGGGAGGGAGGGTAACATTTAAGTAGGCCTCTCTGTGAACCAGGACTGAAGTTCTGTTTCCCTTTGTCTTCCCTCAGATTATTGCTTTCGCCCTCGAAGGAAAAAGATCCAAAGTTACTCGGAGGCCAAAGGCCAGTGACTACCAGCGTTTGAACCTAAAGGTAAGGAAGGAGGAGTCAGGTCTTGGGGTGATGTGAAACGTCAGTTGGGCCCAGCAGTTGTCATTGTCCCCAGCCCTTGGAGACTGCAGATAGGGCCATCTATAGACATACATGTATCTACAGAGTTAGAGCTAGAAGAGGCCTTTCAGATAAACAGATCTGCCTGGAAATGTGACTTTGTTTGTTTGTTTTTGTCCTAAGTTTCCACTCAAAGGCAACACCAGTACCTAATGGTAACTCCATACACTTTTAAATACTTTTTGTTCTGTTTCAGCTCTTGATACATGAACGTTGTGATAAACATTGAACATTATGATAAAAAGCCAAATTTGGGGCTAGAGGGATAGCTCAGTGGTTAAGAACACTGGCTACTCTTACAGAAGTCCAGAGTTCAGGTCCCAGCAACCACATGGTGGCTCACAACCATCTATAATGAGATCTGGTGCCCTCTTTTGGTATGCAAACATACTTGTAGGCAGAACACTTATACATAATAAATAAATCTAAAAAAAAACCCAAAAAGCCGAATCTGATTCACTAAGTGTGGGGTAGAACCTGTGTCCTCATTTCTGGGGAATCACCAAATGCTGCCAGACCACACTTTGCCAGCAAAGTCCTATATCATACCTCTCTCAAAGCAGATGAGCCCAGAAGCACTTAGACCTCAGTAACCCACAGGTCAGCACTGCAGTCTGCACCTCCTTATTGTGGTCAGTCTGTCTCTGCCAGGGAGAGGAGCCTTCCTTCTGTCCCACAACAGCAGAAGCTGAGGAAGCCTCTCCTCACAGGCAACTGTGTAGTCACATTAGGTGCTACACCAGGCACCTGCCCTGTTCTGTTAGCAACAGGAAGGTCATTGGCAAAGAACAGTTGGTAACCCAGATGGGAATGATTCCCAGACTTCCTGCAGGGAACAAACAAGCCACCTGTACATTTCACAGCACTATAGACTAAGCCACTCAGCTCAGAACATATGTCATAAATAGGTCAACTTCACAGTTAGCTCTAGCCTGCTGCTTTCTTTGATAATTGACTTTTAAGGATTTTCTTTCCTTCCTAATTTTGTTTTAGTTGGAAAGAAAACAATATACATGAAAATTACTCAGAATAAAAGGAGAGTGTAAAGTAGAAGCCAGTAATTCTATGTGCCATCATTATTTCTTTATTTGCAGGTATTTATTACACATAATTTCACTACATGTTTTCATGTGTGTGTTAGTGTGTGTGTGTGTGTGTGTGTGTGTGTGGTGTGTGTGTGTGTAGTTTGGGTAATATTTACCACCCCTCCTTGTCCCCCTCTCCTGTTTAAAACATTTTTAGTTTACTTTATGTTGTTTTACGTGTGTAAGTGTTTTGCCTGCATGGACATAAGTGCACCGCTTATGTGTTTGGTGCCAGTAGAAGCCAGAAGAGATCATTGGATCCCCGGGAACTGGAGTTAAGGACAGTTGTGAACCATGTGTGGGTGCTGGGAAACAAACCCTGCTTCTTTGCAAGAGCAGCATGAAGTCCTAGAGAGTTTCATTGGGGGTTTTTCACAGGAGCATGGGCATGTTGCCATTGGCTATCCCCACTGTCAGCCATTAGCTTATTTTGTTTTTGTGGGGATTTGGGGTTTTTGTTTGTTTGCTTGTTCTGAGGCAGTCTCTCACTGTAACTCAGGACTCATGATGTAATCTATGCTGGCCTCAAATTCAAAATCCTGCCTCAGCCTCCTAAGTGCTGGCATTACAGGTATGAACCACCTCATTAGCAAATGTCTGACTTTCTAATACATGTTTTATTTCCAGTTGTCTTTAATATTCAGTGTGACCCATGCACTTTCATTAAGTGCTGTTGTGTGGTGGTGGATGAGTTTGTGCCAACCCTGACATTTGGTGGATGAGTTTGTGCTAACCCTGACATTTGGTGGATGAGTTTGTGCTAACCCTGACATTTGGTGGATGAGTTTGTGCCAACCCTGACATCTCACCTGAACTTCAGTTTCAGAGTCACAGCACTAGTATATTCCTCTGAAAAAGGTGGCCGTTACCAACAGAATGTGTTGTTCTCATTTCAGCTTTGATTATTTTTTTTTTTGTCTGCAAGAACCTTGTCCTCCCTGCTGATTTGTTCTGAATCAAGAGAAATGAAAAGACTGGCGTCCTCTGAGGTTTGGTGGCAAGTCTGTGCTGGCCCAGACAGGATTGCTTCAGGGTTTGCTGCACCTGCACTTTGGTGACATGGTGACATTGTACTCTGGTGATGTTTTATTTACCTTTGTGTTCTCTTTATGCTGGTGTGTTCCATCATCCTTTCTTCTTTGAAGTGTGAGGAGGGAAATGTGGAAACATTACTGTGACCAAAGGAAGACCCCACCCTAGGCAGGCCACATGATGGACCACCCTCCGGTAGCATCTTTATCTTTGCAACTCTAGGAGGAAGCTGCAGAGAGGGGCTTTCTAGACAGGAGGTAGAAGATGGTGGTGGGATGCTGATGGTCAGAGAGAGATTTGAACACATACTCTACAGAGGCTTCAGCAGCAAACTAGAATAGCAAGTTTAAAGAGTGTTAAAGTCTGATCTCTCTGACAGTCTATGTTTTTCTGAAAGTGTGCACTCTTTGGTTGTACCTAACATAAAAGGGAACTGAGTTTCTGAAAGTAAAATCACTGTTCCATGGGCTTTGCTTGGTTTTGCTTACTATGGTGATTGTTGAACCAGTGTGACCTTGCATACAGTCTTCCCGATGGGGAGGAACTCCTTGGAAAGGGCAGGTCCATACTTTGTGGAGAAAGCACAAGCACATAGAAAGGATTTGGTCTGCACGAACGAGGGTTTCCACAGACTCCCATTTTGTCTTTATTGCCTACAGCTAGGTAGGCATTTATGAACTAACTACACTCTCCACGTTTTTCCTTGCGGTTTAATGGTCCTCTCATCCAAGATGCCAAAGTAATGAGTAAAGTCTTTTCTATCCTATGACAGCTGGCCATGAAACTGTAAGAAACCAAGTGGGTTCCCTGGCATAACTGAGTTTGTCTTGGGCTGTGCTGTCTGAAGTTTTATTCCAGTCTGTGTGGTCACACAGCTAATCTCAGTGCAAAGACTCGGGAGAGGGAGGACACAATGGGAGAAGTCAGTCTGAAGAAACAGTGTGGAGTTCTTTGCCTGTGCTGACTGCAGCCTGTGCTTGAAATGTGTCTTCTTTGCGGATTGTCTTCTGGAAATACGATCATTGCTACTGTTCTCTCAACTGTGCCCAGGTCCTCTGTGGCCTTTTCCCAAGCTGAGGAAGCCTTTCTCTAACAACGCCTCTTTACGCCTCTTTAGCTCCCTTCCCATTTTCTCTTCCTCTGTAGACCTGCTTGTGCGCCCTGCATGCTTCCCTCTAGCCTGCATGCGTGCCCATGCCTATCCTGTTCTAGTTGCTATTGCTTCCACTACCTTGCCTCCTCTTCCTGACGTTTACAAACTCGCCTTGGTCTGTTTGCCTCCTGTTTCTCAAGGTCACTCAGTTAATCAGAATCTCCAAATTCAACAGCTCATTCACACACCTTGTTCTTAACTTGGTAATAGTGGATGCTGGGGTCCATGCATGTTCCCAAATTTTCCTTTGCCTTATGGTGGGAGGGGAAGAAGGTGCCCAAGCCAGATCCCTATTGCTTTCACTGTCTACTCAACAAATCCACCTGTTCTTTATCCTCTCTGTGACTCTACCTTTGGCAAGAAACCACTTCTACTATTTGCTAAATAATTCAGCCACATTGTCCGGTTGTCAACCAGATTTCCCCCTTGTATCTTTCAAGGTACCCTCTTGTTCAGTTTCTTTAATTATTTGAAAACTCCACACTGCAAACTAATAACATTTTTCTAATTGCAGAGGTCTTCCCCGCTCCTCCTCACTTTTAAGAAACTAATACTAAGTATACTCTCCGTTAATTTTCAGGAACCACCTGAAAAGGTTCTCCTGACCTTTTCTCATACCAGCTTTGGAAACATTTATCTTTCCAAAATGTGTGCCCTGGTCTGAAGCTTCTGGCTGAGGTTGTAATCTAGACTAAATTCCTTGGTTTCATCATTCAAGGCGACACTCCCTCTCTGCCTCTGCCCTCATGTCCTCTGTATTCCAGCTTTGGGTGGTGGTTCTGGGGTTAGACTTTCCCTCCTTTCAACTTAGCAGGCCAGCGTGTGTGAAGGACTCAGCTCACATGTTCTGTTGTTTCCTGGCTTTTCCCATTCCACACAGTTAGCTCTTTTTCACCCTCCTCTGTAACTTCAGCATGACTAGTTCTGGTGTCTCTGTGATCTCCCCAAAATAACTAAGCCCGAGACAGCCATTGGTGTTGTTATACCTGCCCAGTGTTGTGAGTGCCCCAGGGACTTGTTGGAGGTAACTGAAACCAGGGCTCACACAGCTCCTCCTGGCTACTGGCTCTATGACTTAATACTTGTTGACTTTTGCTCTTGAAGGGCAGGAAAAAAGATTGATTTTTGGGAATCAAGATTGACAGCGAGTAGACAGACACATGAAATATTACCAGTCTACAAAGCCTCACCCCTTTGGATTGCTGACAAATGTGTTTTTGTGCTGACAGAGTACAGTGGAATGTTTTACCTGAAAAGTTGCATTGTAAGGAGAGGGCTCCCACCAAAGAAAAGTCATTTTCAGGGTTATTTTTTAAAGGTAGACTACTTGAAGCATATTTTCCTCGAGTGTGTTGATCGATGGTGATGACCCAGCTGAGGCATCCACACTAGGCGCTGGCTGGCATGTAGGAAGCACAGGAAGCCACGAGTAGCACTTCTGTAGACTGTCCTGAGCTTGCTGTCCTGCTCAGCTTTTGGCTGAAGGACAGTTTCTTAAGGGGAACCTGTTTGTCGTGGATGTTAATAGTTTGTTTTCCTGCTATGGATTATAGAAGCCACTTCTGGACCAAACAACTAACTAAATGTGCAAACATGTTTCTCCCTGGAGACAGAGCTCTGTGCCCTTCAGAATTCCCCTGGTAGTAGTGATGCTTGCTTTTCTTTCTTCTCTGGGGGTGTGTTGTGCTTTGCTCATGTTCTGAGCCATTTGAGCATAGATAAGGGTTTCCCTGGGCACCAAGCCCTCTGATACAGTTTTCTCTTAAAAACTTGCCAGGAAGCTTCAGTTTGGCATTGCCTTAAAAGCTGTAAAGAGTCAGGACTGGTGAAGGAAGCCTTTAAACCCAGCACTCAGGAGGCAGAGGCAGGAGGACTCTGAGTATGAGGCCAGCCTGGTCTAGAGTAGCAAGTTCCAAACGGCCAGAGTTACACAGTGAGAGCCTGTCTCAAAAAAACAAAAGAAAGCTGTGAAGAGGTGTTGAGGTTTAATCTAACTACATCAGGATGACTCTTAGTTCATTTAGTTTCCTGCTCAGGTGTGACTCTCCTAAGTATTTTGGCTTAGAAACTCTAGTTTGAGAAACCCCTCAGCTTACATAGCATAGCAAACTACTCATGAAGGTGGCCTCCTCACACTGTGATAGGAATTTAATTCAGACTACCGTGTTAAGTGAGTGAATGAATGTCGAAATTATTTTCCTTGTTTTGTTTACCCAATTAGTAGATTGCCACTGTTAGTCATGTTTTGTATTTTCACCTATTTTTTTTTTTTGTAATTTAACTATAATGGCTTAATTTTATTTTTTTAAAGCTTATTGTGGTATAATAAGTATTTTTTAGTATATTTTACTGAGCTTCTGTAAATGGCATCTCAGTGTAGTTTCATGTCATTGGACAGAAACCAAAATAAACTTCAGATATCAAACACATTGAAACATTACTATATTTAAATGAACTAAAGTTGGTACCTGTTTAATGTAAGTAAAAGGTTTAAACTTTTACCCACTTACCAGTTTATTCATATAGGTTGAGAATCCCTATTCTAAAACCCAAAGCAAACTTTTTAGTACCATGAACTCATGTGACAGGTCATAGAATGCTCAGTTTTTCAAAATATCACCTAAGATGGTATGCCTGCTCTATGTATATGAAAAAAATGAATCTGAGATTTAGTCCTGGATCTCATTCCTAAGTTATATGCACGTAGGTTCTACAAAATCTGAAGGAATTCTGATTCCAAGCATTTTGGAAAACAATACTGGGCTTTCAGTATGGGCCAACACCCACGAATGCCGCCCCTAGGCTCTGTGCACACTGGGCTTCCTGTGTCCGGGCCCGGTGGCTCTCCATTGTCATCTCCTCGCTGCCGGGCTGACCATTCCCACTGTAGTCAACATCTCAGCTGGCTGGCGTATGGGACATTTTGTTGGCACAGTGGTGACTTTTGGTATGTCTTTGATTGGAATGCTACTTCAGCCTGCTTCTATCAGAGGACAAAACTTAAGCTGAGAGTTTCTTGCCTCACTTTTAAAGTTGCTACCCCAAACGCACGCTAGTCATTCTTCCCTTTGACAGTACAGAACAGCACAACACTAGAGCGGGTAGAAGCAAAAGGCTTCAGGGCAGGACTGGACCAACCTACTGCAATAGCCAGTACCCTCAGGGGTTCTGGGTGCCTGACTGTTGCTCAGTGTTGGGTGTAGGGAAGGCATGGGACCATTCTTCAACGGTGAGTCATCAAGGCTATGTAGCCCACACGAGGCCTTAAGTAGAAGTGCAAGGTACAAGGAGAAGAGCTCCAGGGGAAGAGCTCAATGCACAGCCGTTACTAGAAACGAAGTGCTTCTGGCTATAGTGCAAGTAATCAGTGCAGGGGGACACCTTGAGGAACGCTGGGGAAGGTGCCGTTCCTCCAGCTTATCTCCGAATGACGGATTACTTCTTCTTCTTCTGTGCCTGGACCTTTGAGCCAAGAGCCTGCAGATCTGAGTACAAGTTCCGCTTCAGGATGGCGCTGCTGCACAGCAAGGCCCCTTGTAGAGCCCCCATCAGCCCACAGGTAAAGATATCTTGGCCTAGAAGGCAAAAGCAATGGCCTGCGAATGTCTGTCCACACGAGGATGGGAGAGCAAGGGTTCTTGAGTTCATCCCTCTATATCAGGGCCACCCAAAGAGAGAGAGCTTCAGACAGACTCCAGGACTAGGCAGCCCACCCAGTTCCTGGTATGGGAGCTGAAGGGGACAGCAGGGCCTGAGGACGGGAACAAAAGACGGTGACAGGCAAGCCCGGATTCTGGCAGTGTACCTGTCAGGTAGAGGTTGGGGATGGGGGTTTGGGCTCTTAGAGAAGCCATTGTATGAGGATGCAGACGAGCCAGGTCATGGTCAGCCCCATAGGCAGCACCTCGGGGAGCAGCCAGATAGTACTGGTTGGTGAGTGGGGACCCTGCAGTCACACTCTCCACCTGAGGAGGTAAAAGGGCAGGGCAAAGGTGAGCAAGGGGATCTGCAAGGGCCTGACCCTCCCTTGGGACTCTGTCACCTCAGCCTTTATCCCTGAACCCAAGAAAAGACAAGCAGTTAAGGGGTGTGTCCTAACCTCCAGCATTTCAGATGCCAGCCCCTACCTTGCCCTCCAGCTGTGGGAACAGTGTCATGACCACGGACATGGAGGCTTCCAAGAAGGCATGTTTCAGGGTCTCATAGTCAGCACCCCGCTCGCCCTTTGGCTCCTCCTGCCACTCCTCAAACCACTCGAAGGCCATGGGTACCAGCACAGTCACTGTGGATCGCTCTGCAGGTGGACGGCAGTGTCACTGCTGCCTGGCCCTGCCTTGCCCACACCCACCTCCCTGGACCTGGAGCCCTACCTGGGAACCGGTCCTCCCAGGTCGGGTCCTTGGTTGAAGGGAAGGCAATGAAAAGAAGGGGGATGTGTCCCGGAGCCTTTTCCTTGGGCATCGAGACATAGCGCTGCATCCTGTGGATGAGGGAATTGTGACTGCCAACCTCTAGGCCACCCCCTACCCCAAGCCACCAACATCACCCAAAAGGTGGTTCACTTCCAGGAACTGCCCACGGGTGAAGCGGACACAGCTCTGATACGAAAAGCCTTTCTAGGAGTACACTGGGGGGGGGGGGGGGGACGACACGGGACTGTGCACCTCCCTCTACACACACATCTAACTGCTTATTCCTAGAACCATGTCGAGGGTAGAGACAGGGTCTTGTGGGTTAAAGCCCAATACCATCGGTCTACCCCTCACATCTTACGCTTTGTCCATGTCTGTGTCAAAATAAACATAGTAGTTGGTGGACTGAAGCTTCAGGTCCTCCTTGGTGCCTCTCAGGCAGACGAAAACTGAGAGCATGCTCATTCCTGGCCGCACCATCGCCAGCTGCTGCTTCACATCTGTAGAGAGAGCCAGTGGGGACTGCCTTGCAGGAGCTGCGGCCAGAGAGCTACTCCCTGCCAGGATAGCCGCAGGAGGCTCCCTTTTCTGGTCTGCAGCTTGCTGCTCAGCAGCCAGCTAGGATAGAGATCTAGCCCTTTTTACAACTGTTTCTACAGGATCCTGGCAGGGCCCTGCTCTTCTGTCTCTTCCTGGCTTCGGCAAACACATCCTCACCCTTTCCTCCTCTACCACGCTTCTGCAACGTGTACCTTTGACATAGCACAGCCGACTCACAGCACCTTTGGACCATCAGGCTGTCTGGATCCTCACCTTCAGATGTTTAGATTTTTCTTTTTTAATTGTGGGTGTGTGTGGACGAGTGCATGTCTGGATAAGCAGGGAGAAGGCAGGACAACTTGGTTGTCTTCTACTCTGGGGATCTAACTCACATCATCAGACTTAGCAGCAAGTACTTTTTTATCCTTTGAGCCATTCAGTGGTCCTTGTTTGTTGAGGCAAGGTCTCATGGCCATGGATGACCTTGAATTTACCTTCCTGCCTCAACCTCTAAGGTGCTGGGATTACAGACAAAGCCACCACAGCTGCCCTGCCTGGTTCTGGGGATCGATCCAGGGTTTGATGCATGCTAAGCAAGTACTCTACCAACTGAATTTCTATTAAGATTAAAGTCCCAGTTTTTCCGGCAAAGGAAGGCTTTGGTTTCTCAGCTTGAAGTACAAAGCCTAGACATTTGCATCTGACACGACAGGGTCCTCAGAGCGCTGCCATTGCCTCTGTGAAGGGCCTATTCACCTGTGTGGTCCTAGGTTTCCCAAATGTAAATGTTACAGAGCTGGTACCACAGACCAGAGATAGACAACCAAGAAGAGGGAGAGCATCACCCAGGCTGAGTTATAAGCTCCACAGATAAACGTCAGTTCAGAAGACCAGCCTTTTACCTGGCAGACAACGGACACTCGCCGGCACTAAGTGCTGGTAGGTATTGAACATTCCTGCATTGGAGATGACGACGGGACAATAGATGTTCACCAGCTCTTGTCCCTTCTTCACACTGACACCTGTAAGCACAAGAATTTGGCTGAGCTTCTGTGAGCTCTAGGAAGACGAGAAGGGCCTTTAACCTCCAGATCTCTTGAGTGCAGTGGGATATTTGATCACACTGTGAACCCCCAGTTTGCATTTGCATTCATTAAGTAAAATCAACCTTGGGTCAGGAGGCTGAGTTAGCAACTAGTTGACAGTAATCACAGAGAGTGATAGGGTGTCTATAAGATGGTAGAGGCACAGGAAGTCGTAGGGAGGGACTCAGTGTAGCATGGACTCTTGGCGGTTCAGCTGGCTGCTCCTCAGCCCCTCTGAGCTAGCAGGTTGTCACCCCAGCCTCTGACTCCTGAGTCTCACTGATAAGCAGAGCAGTAGATTTAATTAAAAGCCATAGGTGGCGGCAGCCAGATAGCCAGCGCCTGCAGGGACAGAATGCCCACCTGAATGGCCTGGCTGCTGCCAGAGAAGCCGGCCAATAACTGCGGAGCACATTTGCTGGCCAAAACAGCAGCAGATTAAAACACAGCCCCTGTGCTCATGGGAAAACAACCCTGGAGGGCTGGGGATGTAGCTCAGTGGTATAACACTTGTCTAGGTTCGGTGCACCCCCTCCCCCAGTAAAACAGATAAAGTCCAGGAAAGTGTGAAATACATTTCAGCCAAGGCTTTAGTCCTGGGATGGTGACATGCCTGTAATCCTTGCATTTAGGAGCTAGAAATGGGGCAGTCAGGAGTGCTAAGGAGTGCCTCAGCTAGCTAGTGAATTTGAGGCTAGCCTGGACCACATGAGACCTTGACTCAAAAGATTAGTTCTGTCTATAGCCACACTACCCAGATGTCTTCCAGGGTAGGCCCTACTTTCTCAGACCTTCGAAATCCCTCTAATCAAAGCAAGGCACACTCAGAGTCACTCAGCCCTTGTGCAGATGCTGCTGTGCTCGCCTTATCTAGCTCTTCTCACCCACCCATATGGACTTGATTTACCTTGCCATGTCCTACTGTCCCAAGAACACTGGCTTATGGAGTCCCAGACCCTCCTGCTGCCAAGTTCTACGTTCACAATACTCCCCAGATGACTCGACCTTCACCAAACACCAGAGTTTCTGTGCTCTGCTGTAGCCTTAGCCTGTGTGTGCAACCACATCTCTGGCCATTCTCACAAAACCATTATGTCAAACCTGACCTTTTGTAACAACTGTATTTTTCTTCCTTAATTTTGAGTGTGGGTGAGGGAGCTGCAGCCCACTTGTGGAAGTCAGAGGACAACTCGAAGGGTCTGTTCTCTCTTTCCAACATGTAGGCTGTGGGAATCAGACTAAGGTCATTGGGTCTAGTGGCTGGGACACTTGTCCACCGAGCCATCTCAGCAGCCTCTCACTTTGCATGGGCCGGCTGCTTCGTTTACAGGGACCCCCCCCCCCAGGTCCCTTTCATCCCAGCCCACTGACCCTAAAGCTCAGTCGGGTCTCTTACCACAGGCTCTCCCAGCAGAGTCCAGTAGCACACTCTCTACAGTGGCCCTGGTGAGGACAGCACCCCCGGCCCGCTGAATCAAAGGGATGATATGGAAGGCAATCTCACTGGAACCTCCTCGTGGATAATATGCTCCTTGTATGTAGTGGTCAACCAGCAGTGCATGCATGGAAAAGGTGGTGTAGCTAGGCGTTACTCCTACAGAATAAAGAAAGAAAAGATAAGCTCCAGAGTGAGTGCCAGGAGAGGCTCCAAAGCTACACAGAGAAACCCTGTCTCAAAAAGCAAAACAAAGCTTGCCCGGAAGACCCTGTCTCCAAAAAAGAAGAGGGGGGGGGGGAAAGGAGAGAAAAAGATAAAAGGGAGGAAAAACTAGAAAGTGGATTTAAAAAGAGTCTCTACCAGACTTCTCAGTCCTTCTCCACAAACTCCAGCAGGCCTGGGGTCTGCTTTGGCTTGTCAGCTAGGTAGATGGGAAAGAAAGACCAAAGGTTGGAAGGGCAGTGGCTTAGAAGAGCCTGGGCCAGCAGCCACCCACCGTAAGTGGGGAAGATGTAGCTGAGAACGGCCTGGAGCTCATGGGAAGCCCCGAGCTTCTGCAGGACCTCCGCCAGGCTCTGGGTGGATGCTCGGCAGAAGGGAGAGAAACGAGTCAGCAGCCCAGACTTGCTGAGGAGCTGAGTCAAGGGCAGTGGGAGGAACTTCAGGAGGATGGCATGAGAGGCTCCACCGGCTACCACCTGGGGGGGGAAAGGGGAAGTGAGTCTCCGGAAGTGCTATAGCCCAGTCAGCACTCCAACAGCCAGCAACACTCACTCATGTCTGGAGTTTTGGACTTAAAAACACCTGAGCTGGGCAGGCATGGTGGCTCAGGCTTGTGATGCTAAGGAGGGCGGGCCACTAGGAGTTGGAGGGCAACCGGAACTATACCCGGACACCCAAGCCAGGGTTACATAGCAAGGCTGTCTCCCTCGCCACAAAACAACAACAACAAAGGCCCCGGAACTTCTCTCGCTCTTCACTCAAGTGAAACTGTATTTGCTCTTCCAGCTCCTACTCAAAATTATTTTTTACATAGAGTCCCACACTTCCCAGTGACCTTCAATTCCTAACCCTACTTCTACCTCCTGAGTGCTAGGATTACAGGACACACTGCCATGCTCAGCTTTTGGGGCACTTGGGATCTAATTCGGAGTTTCGTGCATTCTAAACATGAGCCTCATCTCCAGCCCTCAGCTTCGGACATCCCAGTCCAGACGCCAGGTACGATGGCGCACACCCAGCAGAGGCAGGTGGGTCTCTGTGAGTCCCAGGCCAACCAGGGCTACACTGTGAGCATTTATCTCAAAAATCACAAAACAACAAAAAGTCTGGTTCATCCCAGAGGCCATCTCACATCCTCAAAGCCTGACTTCCCAAGGGTATCACTAGAGGCCAGAGTAAGGTAAGGGTACCAGCTGAAGAGCCAGGTAGGGCACAGGCATATTACAAGTGTACCCTAGATTCAGGACAGACATGACCAGACCACCCTGCCTGCCTCCCCAACTCAGTCCCTCCTAACCAGTGACTTCACCAATGAAAAAGTCAGTCTTGCTGTAAATAAATGGAGGATGCTGATCACCGGGGCGGGGGGGGGACCCGACACACGCTACCTTAACTAGCTCCATGTACTTGTCAATGACAGCTTCTTCCTTGGGGAACTTCTCCTTAAGGCCCTGGATGTACTGCTTCCTCCCACTGTACATGGGGAATTCCGTTCGGCCATCGGGCCCTTCTAGTATCATCAGGTCAAAGGGGGAGGCCATGGGGGCCCAGTCCAGCTGCCCTTCAGTGATCTGGTCCAAGATAAAACGGCCAACGTTGCCCTCCTGCATGCGTCCGATATAATGGATTCCTGTTGGGAATTGAAAGGAAAGGGGGTACAAAGATAAGGGGATTGGGCCCTGGAAACGTGCCAAGTAAGGAAGAGGTTGTGCTGCCTGGCCAAGTTCATGCCCATAGAGGGCTACCCGCCCTTTCTGTAGGGATGTGCCAGAACATACACCACTCAATACTTGCCAGTCAGACAGAAATGGAGATGCCCAAAAATATTGTTGGGACCAAAATAGAGGTGCCTCCATATTACCTCATAGTGCCCATAACACACTACAGTGCCCATTCCTAGCCTCCCAAAGACAAAGCCATGCTCCCGACCTTTTACCACATAAGCCTTACCAGTGTCAAATTCAAGGCCATTTTCCCCGAAGGTATGACAGCAGCCCCCTGCCTTGGTATGTTGTTCCAGTACAAGGACTCTTTTGCCAGCTTTGGCCAGAATCGCAGCTGAGGCCAGCCCCCCAATGCCACTGCCAATCACCACGGCATCCAGCTTCTCTGGTACTCGGCTGACTGAGAACGCTGTAGAAGGGAGAAGAGAGAGGGTGGGCTTCTCAGACAAGAGCCGGAAGGCAGCGAAGCCAGAGAAGCCAGACGGGACTTGTGTACCCTGTACTAAGTAAGAGCTCTCTGAAGCAAGCTGGGAATGGTGGTGCACTCCTGTGATCCCTGCACTTGGAAGGCGGATTTGGAGTTCAAGGTCATCTTCAGCCACATAGCTGGCTCATTAGACCCAGTCTCAAAACAGGACAGAAAGAGAGACAGACCCCCGTCTAGGGCAGTTTGGCACAGGACTCTCGTCTAAGATGTCTAAGCATTTTACCAGGGAATACTCAGGACCAGGCAGACAGATTTAAAAGTGATGAGTTAGGTCTTGACGCCTACTATGCTCTTGGGGATTTTCATCCCTTTCCTACTAGGAATCAGCTAACTACTGTAGAACAAACCCGGAAAGAGGGCAACAGAACAGGTATTGTAAGTGCAGACGTTTCTGGGAATGCAAGCAAGGAAAGAAAACAATGGGGATCTGGGGTATGCTGGTGGCTCAGGGAACTGGGCTTCTTCAGAAGAGGCAAGGTCTGTGAATGCCAATGGAGGTGACTTCTCAATGACTCTGAGAAGTCACAGCACCAACCTCACGAAAGGACGACACTGGTTCGACAGGACAACTAACAGAACCAAACGAAAGCACATTCAGCACAAGACTCCGGTTTTGTTTTCTCCTGCTCTTTTCCTTCATTTCCTCTTTCATTTATTTACTTTCCTTGATTTATTGATTTGGACTTTCTGGAGACAGGGTTTCACTGTGTAGTCCTAACTGGCCTGGAATTCCCTTTCCTCCTTTCCTGCCTTTCCTCCCCAGCATGGGATTACAGGAATGTGTCCAGCAAAATCTGTTCATTAAAAATCACTGCTCAAGGCCAGGTGTAGGGGCTCACAGCTTTAGTCCCCCTGTACTCAGGAGGCAGAACAAGAATCTCTCAGTGAGTTCAAGGTCAGCCTGGTCTATATACAGAACTACATAGAGAGAGACACTATCTCTAAGTAAACAGATAGATAGGTAAATAAAATAAATAAATAACCACTCAAGCCATGGGGGCTCATAGCTGTAATCCCACCATCTGTAATCCCTTGTGGAAGGCAGGAGATCACTCAGTTTGAAGTACAGTTGACCTCCATAGCAAGTGCTAAACTAGCCTGGGCTACAGTATGAGATCTTCTCCCCTCCCCAAATCCACAAAAAATAACAATAAAATAAATAGGTGTGGTACACCTTAGAATTAGACACACAAGGGTCAGGAGTTCAAGGTCAATCCCCAATAAATGGAGGGTTGAGGCTAGCCTAGGCTAAAATTTACAAGCAAGAGACCACTAGAGGCCCAACAAGAGATCCTTGTTTGTTTTTTGAAGGTTTTACATTTGAGGGTTTCAATGTCAATGTTTGTGTAGTGCAGGCTGGGATGCCCAACTCCAAAACTTCCTTTTTTAAAACCTTGCTTCTAATCCCATCATCCTGTAGGCAAAAGCAGGACTGTCTGAGTTTGAACCGGCTTCATGGTGTGTTTGAAGTCAGGTCCGGTGTAAAAGTGAGACCTGTTTCAAAAACAAAAAACTTGGGGACTAGAGAGATGGCTCAGGGATTAAGAGCATTGGCTGCTCTTCCAGAGGACCCACATGGCAGTTTACAACTGTAACTCAAGTTCCAGGGGAAATCTGGCATCCTCACACAGACAGATACTCAGGCAAAACACCAGTTGTTTTACACACACACACACACACACACACACACACCCACCAAAAACCTTAGAAGCAACTCTGCATGTGTTTGTGTTTTAAATATGGCTGGTTGACTGGAGAGCAGGGTTCTTATCCCGAAGCAGTAGCGAAACTTCCAAGTTTTTTATCAAGTTTCAATCCTATGAACTGGGATTACACTTTGCCTGTCAAACCGCTTGTTGAGAAAATTTTCTGTGCTGCTCTCCCATACCCCTGATCGAGGAGAGGAGCATAGGAAAAGTTGGTTCTAGCCCTAAGTAGGGGAAAGGTCTCTCATCCCGTGTGAGCTGTTAGCTGAACAGATTCCAACTGGAAGGGCTGGGACTAGGTTACGCCAACATCTTGGCGTGCCGAGGGTGGCGCGCGCACCCAAACCTTCAGGAGCAAAGAACACAACACTAAGACGTGGAGCCTCCCCGTACACGTGAGTTTCCCCAGCACTTTTCCAATGCGGAGTCAGAGGTCCGTGCCCTGCATGAATAGAAGGCTCGAGAGCAGTCCTGGAACTCGGTCCCTGCAGCTCACCTTGTTTGAGAACCTTCCTCCTAGCCTCCTTGTCGGTCACCAGGGGTTCAGGTGGCCGCTTGACATCCTCGGCGAAGGGGTTCGGGGAGCTTCCGCCGAAGAGACCCACGTAAACCCTGCGGAGGACCGCCAGCAGCAGCACGGCCAGCAGCAGCACGGAGACCCACATCTCGCTGTCCCGGCTGGAAAGAACGCGCGCGTCCTTTGCTTCTGAGCTCGGCGTTTATGGCTGAAGCTCCGCCCCACCAGGAAAGGCGAGAACCTTTGACCAGTGCCCGCGCAAAGCTGATGAACATTGTCCTTCCTGGCTCTCCGTAGGACGTTTGAGGCGCGGATTTCCATTGCTTGCTGGGAAATATAGTTCTAGCGCGGGACAGAAGGCGCTGAGCGCCTGCGCGATGAGGCCCCGCCGGGGATGCGGACCCCTACCGGAACGCTGGGGACGCGTCCGGTGAGCCGGCGGTGGGGTGAGGGAGGGGGGCTGAGGGGGCGGTGTGGGATGGGAAGGGTCACCGCGGGGCCACACAGGGCTGGCAGCTGGAGGTCGGGAGAGATCCCGCCTGGGAGGCAGAGAAGACCTGGGCTCTGGTGCCGGTTCTGCCGTGGGTCGCCGAAACCTCGGGGGCAATTCTTTGCTCGCCTCCACTTCCCTTTGCGAGCAGTGGAAAGTTTCTGTCCCGAGTCCCCACACAGCCTGCCTGTCTGCGTTTCCTGATGAGTTGAGGACCCCCTCCCCCTGTTGAGAACTGCGCAGGCGCTCTCCTGATTCTGCCTGACCCCCGGGACTGGAGCCCGAACCCTGCTCGTCCCCAGCTGGACCCCCTAATGCAATCACTCTGCTGGGGCCTCTAAATACGGAATCACCTAGGGACAAGCCTCGAGAATGGCCGTCAAGGTTAATGTATGTGTGTGCTTGCATTTAAGGATAAATCCGCTTCTAAATCACCCTGGAGGTTAGCTCCAGCAGGCAGTCTAGATAGCCTACTTCTTAACGTTGCCCTTTGAAGAAAGTAGATCTGAAATAAGTACTTGATTTGAGACCGACTGTTTTTATAGGCAGCCCATTTCCTCAGATAACAACCAGCAGGAGTAGTGACTTCATAACTTTGAGTATTTTGTCCCTTTTACAAAAAAGCCCCGGCAGTGCTCCCATACAGTAACAGGAAAGGCTTCCTGAGACTGCCGCTGACATATCTACCTGTTGCCTGCCAGGTTAGGTTAGCTCGTGTGGTGTGTGTGTGTGTGAGAGACAGAGAGAGAGACAGAGAGAGAGACAGAGATCCTGTGCTGTCATCCGGAGAGAGGCAGAGACAGAGAGAGACAGAGATCCTGTGCTATCATCCAGAGAGAGGAAGACAGAGAAAGACAGAGACAGAGATCCTGTGCTGTCATCCAGAGAAAGGGAGAGACAGACAGAGACAGAGATCCTGTGCTATCATCCAGGCCAAGATGGGAAGAAAGGAAAAGAGAGGTGGATACTGAGGTTCCAGGGAGAGAAAGCTAGTTCTTGGGTGTTGCAGGTTAAAGATTACCACATCCTTCCTAGATCACAGCCCAAAATCTGACAATGATCCCATTTTGTTAGTGGCAGCCAGTCCTTGGGAAATGTAGATTATATTCCCCATGTCCCGTGTTGAGAGTTGACTCCATGGAGAGACCTGCCTCCTGCCTTAGTCCTCTGAGCCTGTGAAGCATGCTTGTCAGTTGTGTGAGAACCCTTCATCTTTATTTTCTTCCCTTCAGTATTAAGGGTTGAACCTAGTGCCTTACCACTATGCTACAATACCAGGCTTTCACCCAGCTCTTTGGTGTGTGGGTGTGTGCGTGCGCATATAGGAACAGAAAGACCAGAGGATTGCCTAGGATTGCCAATTGCCCTGTTCTGTGCCTTATACCTTTGAGGTTGGGCTCTGACTGACCCTGGAACTAGGCCCAGCAACCAGCAATGGTTTTATCTTCATCTCCCATAGTGCTAAACTCAGGTCCGCACACCTGAAGCAAGCTCTCTCACCAACTGAGCCACCCTCCCAGCCCCTGGTTTTGTTTTTAAATTTTATTTAGTTGGGGATGAGTGGAATGGTGTGTGTCACCGTGCATGTGTGGAGGCCAGAAGACAACTTGTTTGTTTCTCTCCTTCTACCGTCCCCCCTGGGGATTGAACCCAGGTCCTCAAACTTGCTGGGAAGCACCTTTACCCACTGAGCTATTTCACTTGCCCTTATTATGTTTTTTATTGAGACAGAGTCTTGCTATGGCCTCAGCTTGCCTGGAACTCTGTGTAACTCAAACTTACAGTGATTCTCCTGCCTCTGCCTCTAGGGGCATGCACCACCATACTGAGGATGATCTCTGATCTTTTCCTTTCCTTTCTTTTTCCTTTTTACCCCCTTCAGGGTTGGAGATTGAACCCACACCTTCACACATAATAAGCAATAGCTTTACCTCTGATCTATATCCCAGGCCAGGAGAGAGCATCAGACCTCATCACAGATTACAGATGGTTGTGAACCACCATGTGGTTACGGGGAATTGCACTCAGGACCTCTGGAAGAGCAGTCAATGCTCTTAACCTCTGAGCCACCTCTCCAGCCCCACCCCCACCCCACCCCCAGGCCTCCTGTTCTTGTCTTCACCTGCACACTTCAATCCCTGCCACTACAATCTTGGAAATTCTTGTCCATGAGAAGACTGTCTCCGCTTGACACATACATCTGATGTGATAGGTGTTCATGATGCCTGGTTCCCTCGTGATTAAGATGTGATCTTTACCGGGCCCTCTTCCTGGCAGACATCATGAGATAAAAGGCATAAAATAGGGCGTTTTCACAGCATTTTGTCCCAGCCCTTGAGAAGTAGAAGCGAGCCTCAGGCATAGCAAGTAATGGGGCCAGACTGAAGTACATCTATATACCCTGTTGTGTATATCTATATCCCTAGCTCAGAGAGAGAGAGAGAGAGCGCGCAATATTCATCAGTTAAGAACATTTGTTGCTGCTGCAAAGGACAACTCTGGCTCTCAACAACTACATGGCAACTTAACAACCATCTGTAATTCCAGCTCCAGGGGATCCAATACCCTGTGGACATCTGTACACACCTCCGCATGAACAAAAATAATTTCTTTTTAAAAATTGAGTGTGGTAGTGTGATAGCACATACGTGTAATCCCAGCATTAGGACAGTGGAGACAGGCAGATCTCTAAAGCTCATCGGCCCACCTGTTTGTTGGGTTCCAGGCAATTGAGACCTCCTGTCTGAACAGACCCCGAGGGACAATAGCTGAGGTCGTCCTCTTGCCCATCTCTCACACAGATGCACTCCTGCACACAAGGGAGCATGCATGCATGCATGTGTGTCCACACGTAAGGAGAGCTGGCCATGTAGCTCAGTGCTAGAACACTCACCTGGGATGCATAAAGGCCTGGATGTGATCCCCAGCACCAAAACTACACACACACTCACACACTCACACACACACACACAACTTTCACACACACACAGAAACACACTCACACACACACTCACATACCCCCACACACACTCATATACACAGAGTTGACCATTTTGGCTTGGCAAGGATAGGACATTGTCTTGCATTTTGAGTTTTTCTGTCACTCTAGGAAACAAGTCCAGGGTCATAAGCCCCAGAGCTCTACCTGTGTCTGGGATCTGAACAAAGCCAGAGCTCTTCAGGAAAACGCAACCACCAGTCGACTTGACCCCCATAAGCCAGCTAGGTCTCAGTGACATCATGGCCAGAAACAGACCCCACTACTTAGAATAGTGCCACCACCTTCCAGACACTGGCAGTTGCCCCCACCCTCACCCCAGTCCCCTGTTTGTCCCATCCAATCCTGTGGCGTGGGCAGTAAGCGGTAGACATCTGGCTAAGCATCGTGCTTGTTTAGAATAAATTCACGATTGAATGATGAAGCCCGCTTTTCTTCTCCCTGCCCCAACCCATCTCTGTTTTTCCAGACTGAGGCTTCACAGTCCCCGGGGGCTCCTTCAGGACTCACAGGGACCTTCTGCACCTTGGTGATGGCACAAAGGGCCTGTTTTCTTACTTGTAGCCTGAATGGCTGCCAAGAAGGAAGGCAAAGGTAGAGGACGTGGACCTGCTCTCCTGTGGCTTTGGCCCTCAGACCATCGTATCAAACCCCTTTCAGAGCCCAAGGACAAGGCTCATCTGAACCAGTGGCCTTGAGGCATGAATGAGAAACCTTGCTGTCTTGGGACCGAGAATGAAATACGAGATGGACAGGTGAGCGCTCCTACTCGGAAAAGAAGGTGCTGTTTGGGGCTATCCTGTTAATGAGACAGATATTTGGGGGAGATGATCGTATACCCTCATGCTAGGAGATTCTGGGCTGAAGGTGTAGCAGTAAGAAAGCGCTTGCCCAGTGTGCCTGCAGCTGCTGGGTCCCCTGTCCAGGACCAGGCAGGCCAGGAGACTCTAAGCCATCGTGGTGTCTGAGATACCCTAAGAAATCAGCATTGCTTGGACTCACATCAGTTAACTTATTCTCTTCCCTGTCAATCACTGGCTTTGGCTGACTGTCTTAGCTTTTAAGAATGTGTTTGTTTGTTTGTTTGTTTAGTGTGCATTGATGTTTTGTCTGAATGTCTGTCTGTGTGACAGTGTCAGATCTTGGAGTTACAGACAGTTGTGAGCTGCCACGTGGGTGCTGGGCATGGATCTGAGTCTGCTGGAAAAGCTGTCAATACTCTTAACTGCTGAGCCATGTCTTCAGCTCCCTAACTTCGTTTTATTATTATTATTGCTGTGATAGATACCATGGCCAAAAGCACCTTGGAGAGGAAGGGATTTATTTCATCTTACAGCTTACAGCCCATCCCTGAGGGAACCTGGGCAGGAACCTGCAGGCAGGACCTGAAACAACCATGGAGGAACTCTGCTTAGTGACTGCTCTCATTCAGCCTGCTTTCTTATACCTGCCAGGGTCACCTGGCCAGGCGTGGCATTGCCCACCGTGGCTGGGCCCTCCCTCATCAGTTGTTCGTCAGGCAGGCAGAGGGGCACACACATCTAATCCCAGCACTTAGGCACATCTCTGTGAGTTCAAAGTCACCTGGGTCTGCATAGTGAATTCCAGTCTAGCTGGGCCTACAAAGTGAGATCCTGTTTCAAAACAACAACAAAAACAACAGACTTGTGTGAAGGCCAATACAACAGAGGCATTTTCTCAGAGGAGGTGTCTTTTCCAGATGGCACTAGCTTTATGTCAAGTTGACAAAAACAGAAGTAGCTCCCTGACCGCCACCCTGAGGCCACCTGCTTCCACACAGTCTCAGAGTATGTCCGTGTGAGCCTGGCAGCTAGCCAAATCCTGGACCTTCTGCTCTGTCTTCTGGCCAGAAATGAGATTCAGAGGCCGGAATACCAAGCATTTGCTGAGCTCTCCAGGGAGGTTTCCTCATTCTCAAAAGAGGACAAACTGTTCTTCCAAAGGGAAGTATCCGGAAGGGGGCTGAAGTGTAGACAGAGAAGAATGAAGTGAACCTTTTGCAGGAAAATTTGGTTTGCATGCAAGCACTTAAGAGGGGGCTAGAGAGACTGCTCAATGGGTAATAACAGTGGCTGCTCTTGTGGAGGACCCATGTCAGGTGGCTTATAGCCAGCGATAACTATAGCTCCAGGGATCAGTGTCCTTTCTGGCCTCTACACACACATGGACGCACTGGCACAGATACGCACTTAATTTAAAAACCAAGATAGAACCCTATAGTCCTAGCACTTGGAAGGCAGGGATAGGTGGATGGATCTCTGTGTGTTAGAGGCCAGCCTGGTCTCCTTAATAAGTTCCATGCCAGCCAGTGCAGTGCTCAGATCCTGTATCAGAATAAAATGAGGGGCTGGAGAGGTAGCTGAGTGGTTAAGAGCACTTGCTGCCCTTGCAGAGGAGCCAGAGTCAGTGCCTGCACCACGTGGTGGGTCGTAACCTTTTGTAGGTCCAGTTCCAGGGGACCTGATGCCTTCTGGCCTCTGTACAGGCATCCATGCAGGCAAAACACTCATGTGCTCATACACACAAAATAAGTCTTAATTTTTTAAAAAAAAAAATTGTTTTCAAGAAAGGGTTTCTCTGGGTAGTCTCAGCTGTCCTAGAACTCACTCTCTAGATTAGGCTGGCCTCGAACTCACAGAGCTCTGCCTGCCTCTGCCTCCCAAGTGCTGGGATCAAAGGTGTTTGCCACCACCTTCTGGCAACCCTACATTTTTCAAGAAGACATTTACAGCATTTGAACATCTTTCTTGCATTTCTCTTTTTTTATAACTCAATTGTGTGGTTCTTGAGTGCGAATTTTATAGATGACAGTGTGTGTTGCAAGGTTAAAAGGTTAGACACACCTGCATCTGGTGAATTGTAACCCGAACCACTAGCAAAAAATATTTATCACATTTTTTGACCTTTGGTAATGTAACTACTGAAGCAGTATCTCAGAATAGTTCATATGCCATTTGTTCTTATGCACTAGTCAGGGTTCTAGAGGACAGAACTGGGGTGTGTGTGTGTATATGTGTGTGTCCATCTATTAGAGTGGCTTTCGAGTCTAACAGAAAGTCTCAAGTCCAGTAGTTGATTAGTCCATGAGTCAGGATAAGGCTGGATGTCTCTGAAAAAGCAGGCTCTAATGCCAGTGGAGGATGGACTTGCCAGTAAGAGCCAGGGCCAACAGGCAGAGCCAAAGCTTCCTTCTTCAAGTCCTTTATGTAGGCTGCCAGCTGCAGATGTGGGCCAGATTTAAGATGGGTCTTCCCACTTCAGATCGTCTAGTCAAGGAAAATCTCTCACAGGTGTGTGGTGAAATATTGTTTATAATCTAACAAAGCTTGCCTAAAGATCAGAGAAGCAAAGAGGCCAGACAGCAGAGAGCTCTCGCCTCTACCAATGCTCAGACGGAAGGGGTGATCCACCCAACCTCAGACTGTACTGCTCCAGAGACCACACTGAGGTCCTTATATTCCCTAGTGCTGGGATAAAGGGCATGAGCTCTGTTTCTCTTCTAGACTGATCCACCCTCATGTAGCCCAGGGTGGGTTTGAACTCACAGAGATCCATCTGCCTTTGTCGCCTGAGTCCTGGGATTAAAGGTGTGGCCACCACTGCCCAGCTTCTATGACTGTGGCTATCTTTGCAGATTTAGTGAGAAGCAGTACAATCTAGAGATGCAATCTGAGGGTCGTCCCTTCAGTCTGAGCATTGGTAGAGGTGAGAGCTCTCTGGTGAATTTGGCTGCTTTACTCCTCTGATCGTCAGCTTGAACCCCAATATCTGTCTCTTGGTTTTTATCCAGCAGCTTAGATATAGTCAAGTGGACCAAGAATAGTCATCACATCCATGTTTTTTTGTTTTTGTTTTGTTTTTTTAATGCTGGGGCCTGGAGAGACAGCTCTGAGTTTAAGAGTACTTACTGCTCCCAAGGACCTGGGTGCAGCTCCCAGTACCCATGTGAGAGGCTTGTAACGGAGGGATCAGAGCCCTCTCCTGGCCTCCTTGAGCACCGGAACACATGGCAGACTCTCGTACACAGAAAGGCGCACACAGTACAAACAAGATAAAAATTTAAATAATGCACTGTGCTTTTGAGCCAGGCAGATGACCCAGGGTGAAGCGCCTGCTGTGCAACATGAATCTGTGTCCCCAGCACCCAGGAAACGCATGGGGTGCCTGTGCCTGTAACCCCCATGGCGAGATGGGAGGTGGAGATGGAATCGCTCGAGGGCCCTGCTCGCCTGTGCCTGAGACCCTGCCTCAGAGCAAAGGGGGAGCCAGGACAGACAATGACAGTGGCAGCAGGGTGTGTCCTCACTGTCACTCACACTTGAGATCACTTAAAGTGATCTCTCTCTTGTGTAAGTCACGTGCACTCATGTGTGTATGTGCCAGTCTTGCTTTGTAGCCTAGGCTAGCCTCCAAATCGGCTTCCTCCAGTCTCCGCCTCTTGTGTGTTGGGATTGAAGGCTGTACTACCACTGTTTTCTTTGTGGAAATGATGGAGTGGTTGGTTTGAGACAAAAATCTCCTGTGTGTGTTTTAAATTTTATTTTATTGATTCCTCAAGAATTTTGTGCATACGTACAGTATATACATTTGATCATATTTGGTCCCTAATTCTGCTGGGATGTGAGTGGCAAATGGTTGAGCAAAGGCTTTGTGCTGCCATTTGGTTTTTCTTCTGTGTTTGTTTGTTTGTTTGTTTGTTTTTTGAGACAGGGTTTCTCTGTGTAGCCCTGGCTGTCCTGGCACTCACTCTGTAGACCACCTGGCCTCAAACTCACAGACCCACCTGCCTCTGCCTCCCAAGTGCTGGGATTAAAGGCATGCATCACCACTACTTAGCTGTTTTGTTTTTTAAAACACTATGAGGGGAAAGGTTTGCGGAGTTAAAGGGCCGGGCAAAGCGCCTGAGTTCCAAGACTTGTAATGGTGGAGAAACCAACAGAAGATTCGTAGGGGCTGGTGAGATGGCTCAGCAGCGAAGATGCTGCCTGGCCGAATGGCACAAGTTCAGTTCCCCAGACTCACACGGTAGGAGAGACCCAACTCCTACAGATTGCCCTTTGACCTGCATATGCAGGCTGCGGCACACATGCTCCCCCATACATATGTACAAGCATACACATATACATATACACATAAAATGGCTCCTTAAATAACAGTAATCCGTTTATAGTTTTTCCCACCCCTCTTCTACCCTTTCCCCTCCCTTCCTTTCTCTTTTGGAGAGTCCCCTGGCCATATTCATGATACACAGTGTGGTACCTACAGTTCTACATGTACAGGGCTACACGCTTATCTTAAAACATGTGAACCCATTATCTCAAGCAAAAGCCTTCACCACCATGCCGTCTGTGGGAGGCGAGTGTTGAGATGGGCCCTTCTGTAGCCCACGCTGGCCTCAGACTCTTGATCTGTAGGCAGAGTTCCTCCAGGTCCCGTAGCCCTTTAGCCCCAAATAAACACACAGAGGCTTATGTTAATTATGAAGTGTTTGGCCGATGGCTCAGGCTTCCTATCGGCTAGCTCTCTCTTAATTATTAACCCATTTCTATTAGTCTGTGTATCTCCGTGTGGCTTTGGCTTACAGGAGAATGCCTGGTGTCCTGTCTTCCGGGTAGCTCCGTGGCATCTCTCTGGCAGCTTCTCTCTGCCTTCCTCTCCCCAGACTTCTGCTAGCCCTGCCTGTACTTCCTGCTCGGCTACTGGACAATCAGCATTTATTCATCAGCCAATAAGAGAAACATATACTATACTCATACATACAGGACATCCCCCTGCCTCTACCCCCTGCCTCTTCCTCCCAAGTGCACCACCATGCCCAGTGGTTTGTCTTCACAGTGTTGAGCTGATTTCTAGGGAAAAAATGAGAAAATTAAACTATGGCCTGTGGGAGATTACTGCAGGAAGCTGACCCTGGTCTGTCTGTCTGTCTGTCTGTCTTGCAGGTGGAAAGTGTCTCTACGGAGCATCCCTCATTGTACAAGGACAGTGGTGCACTCATGGCTTTCAGAGGGATGTCTGTAGGTATCACTCCTCTGCAGAATCCTTCCTGCCCTTGTGTGCTGGGGTACGGCAGGGCATGAACTCCAGGAGCTTACATCAGGGAAAGTGCGCACCTGCCACACAGCGTCCGTCTGATCAGATCACACCACCCAGAGGATGAGCATAGGATGCACTAGGGATAGCAGAGGCATACCACAGTCTCAAAGGAGTTGTGTGCGTTTGTGTTTATTTATCATTCAGCAAGGGCATTCGCTTGTCCCAAATATCAACAAATTGCAACTTCACAAAGTTTTCTGGGCGCTCCACTTTAAGAATAACTTTTAGGCTGGAGGAGGTGATATAGGCCTGGAAGTCCCAGCAGGAAGACAAGAGTTCAAGGCCTGCCTGCACTACGTAGCTATACTGTGTCTTGAAGAGAAACAAGATTGAATTTAGAACTGGGACATAACTCAGTGTAGAATGAGCGCTTCGTATGCATTAGGCTTTGAGTTCAGTTCCCAGCATGCACTCATGTGAGTGAGTGAGTGAGTGAGTGAGTGAGTGAGTGAGTTAGGACTGAGGAGATAGTAAAGTGGTGTCTTGCCCGCATGAGGGCCTGGCTTTGATCCCTAGAATGCACAGAAAAGGCCAGGCATGGCGGCATGTGCTTGTAGTCGTAGTGCTGTGGAGGCAGAGGCAGAAGTGTCTTGGGGCTCACTAGGCAGCTAGTCTAGCTGCATGGGGAGCCTCAGGCACCAGTGAGGACCCTGTTGCAAAAAAAGCAAAGTGGAAGTCCCCTGAGAAGCAACACCCCAGGTTGACCTCTGTTCTACATGAGTGCACGGTTGCAAGCATGCGCACACACGGGCAAAGTTTTAACCAGCCCATCAGAGTAGACTGTATTCTTCCAGGATATTTCGTATACAGTGGGTGGGTAAGAGCCGTGGGGGGGGGGGGGAGGAGTGCACCCTCACTGTGAAGGTCGCCTGCCCCTACAGATCTCAGAGCTGAAGAACCATGGCATTCTGCAAGCCCTAACCACCGAAACCAATGGATGGCAGCTGGGTGGTAAGGACTCCGAGGGCCCTCGGGTTTGGGTGGGACCCAGGCCAGAGCCACCTGGGAGCCACTTTCCTTTTGTCTGGGTCACCCGTGCTCCTACGCTTTCAGGATTTTGTATGTACCATTCCCCAACAAAAATCAGAAGCAATGCTGCTCAGGAGCCAGTTTGTCTGTTGGTGGTTTGCTGTGTGCTTCTGAGCAAGCCATGCAATGTGAAAATTTTTAACTACATGTATTTGTTGAGGGGAGGTGCAAGCCAGACGACGACTTGCTGGAGTCAGCCCCTTCTTCCACGTTCACATCCCAGAGATGAACTCCGGCCACCAGCCTTGGAGGCACTGAGCCATCTCACGGACCCAGCAGTGACGATGTAAACACCTCTCATCCTCACGAATGTCTGAAAATAAAAGACAGTACAGGGCTGGGCAGTGGTGGTGCACACCTTTAATGCCAGCAGCACTCAGGAAGCAGAGGCAGGCCTGGTCTACAGAGCAAATTCCAGGACAGCTACGGCTGTTACATGATGAACCCCTTTCTTGATACACCCTCCCCCCTAAAAAAGTAATGCTTTTGGCTAATTCCCATTTAGAGGATTACTAAATTGGTGCTATTTAGTTGATGGGTAAATGGGAGAAGCAAAATAAAGTAGTCAATTAAATAGTAAAAGAAAGAAAAAGAAACATGTGAGCTACATGAGTTACCCTAGAGATGTTTGCTTCACACACGCATGCGCGTGTACGCGCACACACACACACACACACATACACACACTCCTGTGGGTCCCTATGTCAGGATCATCTTCAGAGCCAGGAGGATTGGCCTGGCTCCAAGAAGGCAGGGACAGTGCATACATGGTTTGGCCATCTCTCTCTAGATTTTAGGCACCAGCTGGTTAAGGCTAGATTAGACCTTGAACTTCCTGTTGTATAGCTGTTGTAAAAACTAATTCCGTCACCCTCTGGCCAGCGTTTCTTCTGCCTCTGGCTCACAGATGTGGTCAGATTGCTTGAAGGTAAGAGAGCGTGAGAGAGAGATAGGTCTGTTAATGATGAAGACGCTTGGAGGCCAGAGTCTCAGGAAGATGTGTTCAGCCCTACTACTTTCCCTGTCCCACACTCCTTGCTTGTTTTCTGTTTCCTGAGACAATGTTTTAAGTAGCTTTTCTGTCCTAGACTTCACTCTGTAGACCAGGCTGGCCTTGAAGTGCTGTGATCCTCCTGCCTCTGCCTCTGTAGTGCTGGGATTGTAGTTCACCACCTGCCTTGCTCTCGCTGGCTCTCTCTCTCTCTCTGGTGAGTGTGTGTGTGTGTGTGTGTGTGTGTGTGTGTGTGTGTGTTACTGGGTGTTTGTGGAGGCCAGAAGTGGGTATTGGATGCCTTGAAGCTAGAGTTACTGTCAGCTGTGAGCTCCTAGTATTGGTGCTAGGAACAAAACTCAGATCCTTTGGATGAGCAACAAGTGCTCTTAACTATTCCTCTCTTGGCTTGGAGGGCGAGCTGAGGACCAAACCCATGCCCTTTTGCTTGCTAGATAGATGCTCTGAGACAAATCCCCAACCCCCATTTGTCTCTTTTTGTTCAGCCACTTTGTCCCTCATGTCGTGCATGCTAAAGATTGGACTTGATTTTCTCTATCCATGTAAGGCCAAGTTCTGTGGACATTATGTAGCTAAGTCTTCCTGAGTCTCAATGTCTGCTACCCCATCTGGAAGTAGCAAGATGGAATTTCCTAGCAGTCCATTGCTTAGGACCCTGAATCCATTTCCCCTGATCCCACTAGCTTGCTGGCTCAAGGCCATAGGGAACACTTTTTAACCCCTCCCTTCTGGGCTGCATCCCATGTAAGAAGCTGGAGAATTGCTTCATGCTTACAACAATCCTAGAGGACTCACAAATGGTTAAGTACTTTGGTCAAACTAATACAATGGTTAAGTACTTTGGTCAAACTAATACAACTAGTAAGCAGCAATGAGCCCTCTCCTCTTCCAGCCTCTTTCTACTCAGTTCCATTAGCATTTGGTAGTGTCTTACTTAATCTGCAAGTCTGTTCTGCAAATCCACCCTACATTACTACTACAGAGTACCAGAGGCTGGGTAGTTTATATGGAATAAGGGTTTAAGCAGGCATGGTGGCACATGCCTGTGTCTCCAGCAGCACTTGGGAAGTAGAGGTAGAAAATTCAGAAGTTTAAAGTTATCCTTGGCTAGATTGTGAGTTCAAGACCATCCAGGGCTATGTCAGACCTAAAAAAAAAAAAAAAACAAAAGCAAAATGAAACAAACAACAGAAAAAACCAAGTTCATTGAAGTTCAGAAGGGGCTGCATCTGGTGTCCTGCCTGATGTTGGAGTCCCAAATAGGTGCAGGGTTTCATATGGCAAAAGAAAGGTTACATACACAGTGTCTCCTCTAGTTCCTGTCCTTCCTGTTTTATTTTGAGACAGAGACTAAGTAGACCAGGCTGGCCTCAAACTCATAGAGATCTGCCTGCCTCTGCCTCTGCCTCCCAGAGGCTGAGATTTAAAGATATGTAACACCATACCTGGCATTTTTTTAATTGTATGAATTGTAATTTTTATAAAAGTCAAAGTGAAGTCTCCTGGAGAAGACAAAAGATATACCCAAGCAACAGACCCTGTTTACACAAGATGATTGCCAGTCATGAGTACTCACGACAAACTAAAAGGTTTGACTATGGCAGACCGAGCAATGACTTGTTTATTATTCTTTTCAATCTTTTTGTTTGGTTTGGTTTTTCAAGACAGGGATTCTCTGTGTAGCCCTGGTTGTCCTGGAACTTACCCTGTAGACCAGGCTGGCTTCGAACTCACAGAGATCTGCCTGTCTGTGTCCCCCAAGTGCTGGGATTAAAGATGTGCACCACCACTACCCAGTGAAATAGCGTATTTTTATTTTATTAGTATTTTAAAGACAGGGTGTCCTGTACCCTCAGTTGGCTTCTGATTCTCTACCTGTCACATGCCGGGATTCCAGGCATTCACCACTGTGCCTGGTGTATGCAGTATTAGGGACTGAACCAAGGGCCTTATGCGTGATAAGCAAGCATTCTACTGACTGAGCCACACCCCAAGCCAGAAACCTGACTTTTAAGAGTGTTCCTTCAGCTTTCTCTGGACTACTCAGTTTCCCATCGCCCTTTGCTCCTGTGCCGAGGCCTCCCTGGGATCCCTGTGGCCATGGTGCTCCCCATGCCCTTTGACCTCCCTGGGATCCCTGTGGCCATGGTGCTCCCCATGCCCTTTGACCTTCCTGGGATCCCTGTGGCCATGGTGCTCCCCATGCCCTTTGACCTCCCTGGGATCCCTGTGGCCATGGTGCTCCCCATGCCCTTTGACCTCCCTGGGATCCCTGTGGCCATGGTGCTCCCCATGCCCTTTTTCTCTGGCTCTGCAGTGTCTGCTCACTTCCCTTTCTCTTCCTGGTCTCCAGTGAAGCCTCGTCTAACCTTATGACGGCCATCTGACCAGGACAGCTGCGGTTTGGAGGGGAGGGCTATGTGAGAGTGGCCTCACAGACCCAGACCTCACAGAAACTCCTTTCTCGCTGTTGCAGTTGTAAACTCAGAGGTGCTCAGAGCCCAGGAAGAATGGGACGTGGTGGACACCATCCATCCAGACCCAGGTAAGTGTGGCCATGGTGCTGTCCAGCACAGCTGCCAGCAGAGCCCTCGTGCACGGCCAGTCCTGAAGTGGTCTCATCTAGTTATGTGACATGTAAAGTCTCTCCCACAGACCCTGAAGTGGGAAAGGGGCAGCACAGAGCAAGCCTGCCGTGGCTGCACCCTCCATCAGTGCTGAGGGAAGAAGACAAGAGAGCCTTGTTAGGCCCCGATGGGGGCGGGGATGGAGTCAGGTAGTGAGGGTCCCTTGGTGCCCTCTGCTGGCAGTCTCTGAAAGCCAGGGAGAGTTACCTCAAGTAACTTTTCGGACAGATTTAGATGGAGCTGTAGAAGGGTGGAGACTTGGGTCTCACCCGAGCTCAGGAGAGGTGTCACGGTGAAGTGGCACCAGCCACCACCGTATTGTTGGTGACAAGTTGGTAGCCAGTGCTTGGTTTAGAGGTGACAACCAGCCGGCCATCAGTGGATGTTTGCTGTCAGGACAACTACTATCCCAAGCCCTCAGGTGTCTTTTTTTACCTAGTGAGTGGGGTCAGCTCCCAGCAGCCTGGCCAGCTCATCTCCTTCAGCGAGGCCCTGCAGCACTTCCAGACCCTGGACCTCTCCTCCTTCAAGGTAAGGCTGTAGGGAAGTATAGGTATCCAGGGTGCTCAGCTTCCGCAGCTTGCTGGGTACTGATTCTCTGTCATCTAAGATCTAAGGTGGCCAAAGGACCAGGGTGGCTGGCACACACCTATAATCCCAGCATTAGGGATAGAGGCAAGAGGGTTGCCCCATGCTTAAGGCCAGCTGCAGCGTATGCTCCACGCTAAGAACCCACGCCTGAAGATGGAGGTTTCTGTCCTGCCTTTCCCATGGCTGATTTCCCCAAATAAACACACAGACTCTGTATTAATTATAAAACTGTTGGCCCATGGCTAGGGCTTCTTACTGGCTAGCTCTCTCATAATTATTAACCCATAACTACTAATCTGTGTATTTCTACGTGGCCTTATCAAAGAATGCCTGGTGCATCTTATCTTCCCGGTGTCTACATGGCGTCTCTTCCCGGCTGCCTCTCTCCACCTCCTCTCCCCAGAATTCTCCTCATCTCATAGCCCTGCCTATACTTCCTGTCTGGCTGTTGGCCAATCAGTGTTTTTATTCATCAACCAACAAGAGAAACATATATACAGAAGGACACCCCCATCACGTGACTGACTGACTGATAATGTGTGTGCAAGTGTCTTGTGGTGGCCACAGGCTCTTAGGTCCTCTGACACAGGTGGTTGTGAGCTGGTGTGATGTGGGAACCAAACCCAGGACTTTTGGAAGAACATCAAATGCCCTTATTAAACCATGAGCCATCTCGGAAAACCACGTAGGGCCCTGCTAGCCATTGTGGGGCTGAGCCTGAGGAGCTCTTGCAGCCCTGTGATTCAGAGCATGTGCAGCGATCTTCTGGGTTTCTCTCTTAGAGATGGGAAGTATTGAGTCCAGATCAGGTAACTCCTTGGGGAAGCAAGACAGATTGTCTAGGGAAGGGGGTACTAATGATTCGTTGCAAGTGAAGGAGATTCCCCTGTAGGAGCCAGGAACTGTTTGGGATTTTAATTAAATTTGTGTATTTTTGAAACTGAGTCTTTTATGTAGCCCTGACTGAACTGGTACTCACCATGTTGCCAGGGCTGGCGATAACTCAAGGTAACCACCTTCTTGCCTGTCAAGTATTGGCGTTATAAGCATGCACCACCACACCTGATATAATTTTGGAAAGATGTTGGGCCTAGAAAGATAGATAGATAGATGGCTTAGCGGTTGAGAGCACTTGTTTTTACAGAGGACTTGAGTTTGATTCCCAAAACCTACATATCAGCTCACAGCCATCCATTACTTCAGGGCCAGGGATTTGACACCCTCTTCTGACTACCTCAGGCATCAGGCATACACAAGGTGCATAGATACACATTCAAGAAAAACACTCAAACACACAAATAAATTAAAAAAAGGTGTGGGTGCTAAGTATGATGGCACACATCTGTTATTCTAGCACTTGGGAGGCTGAGGCAGGAAGATCATAAGTTCAAGGCCAGCCTGAGCTACGTCGAGAAACCTTGTCTCAAAAAGGCTGTGTGAGAGCTGGGCAGTGTTGGTGCACACCTTTAATCCCAGCACTCAGGAAGCAGAGGCAAACAGATCTCTGAGTTCGAGGCCATCCTGGTCTACAGAGAGAGTTCTGGGACAGCTGGAACTACACAGAGAAACTCTGTCTTGAAAAACAAAACAAAGAAAAAAGTTTTATGGGGCAGTAAGATGACTCAGTGGGTAAAGCTCTTGCTATACAAGCTTCATGGCCTGAGTTTGATCCTCAGAATCCTTGGGAAGATGGGAAGAGAGAACTGACCTCTACACATGAGTCATGACATGTATGTCCCTCACACACACACTAATAATAAAATGGGATTGGGAAAGAGTATTAGGGGAATAAGCACACCAAGGGTTTTCTGGGATGTCTTAAGTGAACTGTGGTACATTTAGCAGAATGTGGTTTCGGGTATTCGCCCTAAAACCTGGATCATGAGAGAGGCCAAAGAGACAGACACTGAGACAGAAGGCCAGAAGATGGCAACAGCCAGAACCTTGTAAGGCAGGCAGAGGCGACCCTGACTTGGGAGGAGCCAGCATGGTGTAATTTAGAAGGTACATCTGACTCATGAATGCCCAGTGGCCCTGGCATGATGGAGTGGGGAAGGAGCTGAATTTTGGAATTCATATCCTCAGAGAATCAGACTGCCATGTGAAGGACAGATACAGCCTTGCTGAGGATACTAGCCTGCCCTATCTGAGATTCCTGGACGTCAATAGCTAGTCCTAGAAAAGTCCAAGAGATCAAATGCAGAGAATTGGCAGCGAGTGTCTGTACCTAAGGACCCTTGCACAGAATCTGGGAGCTGGAAGTGCCTGCCTCTGCCATCTTAACTGCTGCCTCCCTCGTGGCTTCTGACTCCTTTTCCTGACCCAAACACTAGCTGTGGGGACAGTCCTTGCTTGATAAAAGTTTTAGTAGATTGTCTGTGCTTTTCTTCCCAGAAAAGAATCCAGCCAACTATTCAAAGGACCGGGTTCGCTGCCCTCCGGCATTGCCTCTTCGGGCCGCCCAAGCTGCACCAGGGCCTTCGGGAAGAAAGAGACTTAGTCCTCACCATAGCTCAGTGTGAGTGCTGGGGCAGCCCCGGGCACATGCTGAGGCTCTTGCCTGTTTGGATTGCCATGACAGCAGGAATGATGGTAGCATGGCTCCACATCTCGTCCAGCTTCCCATTCTCTGGGAAGCACGGGTTTCTACCTGGGGACAGCCTAGCAGAAAGTGTATGTGTGTTTTGGGGCAGGTGGCCTGGACAGCCAAGACCCGATGCATGGCCGAGTGCTCCAGACCATCTATAAGAAGCTGACCGGCTCCAAGTTCGACTGTGCCCTTCATGGAGACCATTGGGAAGACCTGGGCTTCCAGGGTGAGAGAAAGTGCCTGCCTTCTTTCCTTGTCTGATTGATTCCAGATTCCAGAGGGAGAAACCGTCTTGAGTGAGGAGGGACATCTAGGAAGAATCAGGGGACCTAGGGGCAGCACACAGGAGTGTGCCAAGCACGGCTGAGGGGAAGAGAGGGCAGAGGGTGGCTGCTGTGAAGCCCGGCCTCCAGCAGCTCAGGGTCTGAGGGGGAGCCAGCAGAGTCGACAGACTAAGTCTCAGGGGCTGGTGAGGGAGGCTGGACTTAACTCGCTGGGTCAGGCAAAAAAGGAAAAAAAAAAAAAAACACACACACACACACACACACTCTTAGGGTCTTTCTCTGTTTTCTCTCTTTTATGTCTTTATTTTCCTTTGCAGCTTCAGGCAATACAGTGAGGTTACATTCTATTTTTTAAGTATAAAGAACTTGTTTTTCATTTCCCTTACAAGATTAAATATCCTATGTGTTATAGATGAGAAACAAATTATCCCAAGAACCCACATATATTCATATCTAAGCAATTTGTATAGAGTAACAGAGTAAGCAAGCAAGATACTTTCCTCAGGGTGTGTACTCATCAATAGTGTCTATATCAGGAAGCTGAGGGCAGAAATGGGTACAAGGAATTAATCATCACCTTTGATTACCAACCCACCCTAGCAAGAAGGGCATATCAGGCAATAATAATTGGGCTGCTCTGCTCTTGTTCCCTGACCTGGACAGGTCCCTCACTCAACTATGTGCCTTTCTAAACTTAGTTTCCCAGGGTCTTTTACCTCAAAGCTATTAACAAAAGCATCTTAATTTTTCCTTAAGTCATAGCTGAAGCGTTGTTTTAGCTATGATGCACACCGAAACCTGTGAACACACCTCTCAACGTTAAGATTAAAAGAGCTTGAGCTACCTTAGCTTCTGGGACTCAGTTGTTTCTCATAATCATTAACCTAAGTCACAGCCCGTATGACTCCTCAAGAGAAACTCGTGTTCTAGCTGTGTGACGCTGCCTTGTTCTTATGTCTGTCCTCTGCAGCCAGCCCTGCTTTATCAGGGGCGGGGCAACACTATCCCCTGCGTTTACCTTACTATACTTACTATATTCTATTATGTTTATTAAAGGCCCCAATCATCAACATTCTATTTAAACTAACACTATTATGGTATAAAATCATTACTCCGGTTAAACAGTACAGCTTAGGAGGAAATCGTCTTCATAATAATCCACAGGTAAAAATGCCAGTAGAACAGGGTATTTCTATGAGATAACCACACTACACTAAAGGTAGCGTGGATCCTCCCACATCCATTCACGCCGTTGCTGATACCAGAGAAAAATGGCAGCAGCAAACATGGAAAGGCACAGCGGCAGCAGGGGACATTCTGGAGCCGGAGCCCTGGGGGCCTGGCCCATCTGAGACTCACCCATCCGAGCTTTGCTGCCGCTGGGCTGACTTCCCAAACCCCAGCTGCAACTTGCTGCTCATCTGACGTGGCCAGCAGCCATGGAGCGCATGTCACTTGGAGCTCTGCCATCTGTTAGGAAGCACTTCTGTGGTGTGAGATGGGACATGCAGAGTGATGTCCTTTGGGTCTGGTTTGCTTGCGTTCTTAACTCTTTTTAAATGAAAACTGTAGCTATTTTCAGTTGAAGCAATTACTTCACTTGCTTTTGGATTATACTTTTTTTTTTTGGAGACAGGGTCTCCTATCGCCTAGGAGATGATAGCTGAGCGTGACCTTGAATTTTGACCCCCCTGCTCCCCCTCCCTAGCTGGTAGTCCCACCATACCCACTTTATACAGTACTGGACATCCAGCCCAGGGCATTTTAATGCCAGGTAAGTGGTCTATCCACTGAGCTGCATCCTCAGCCCGGTACTATTTCCCCACAGTCCTATCATTACATCTGTGAAGGCTAAGAAACTATGCAGAACGGCACACACCTTTAACCCCAGCACCCAGGAGGCATAAGCAGGCAGATCTCGTGAGTTTGAGTTCTGTGTGGAGTTCCAGGCTAACCAGGCCCGCCGTAGTTTTCTATAGTCGCAGTAACAGATTTCCACTGGCCAAGAGATGTGTAGTTCAGTTACTAGAGTGTTCAATCCCCAGGACCCCATAAAATGACAGTTTCTCAGGGTGGAGGTGGTTCATGCCTTTGGTCTCAGTGCTTGGAGGCAGAGGCAAGTGGATCTCTGTGAGTTCAAGGCCAGACTGGTCTACAGAGTGAGTTCCAGGACATCAAAAAAAAAAAAAAAAAAAAAAAAAAAAAAGAAAGAAAGAAAGAAAGGAAGGAAGGAAGAAAGAAAGAAAGAAAGAAAAAGAGTTTCATATACCTTCACTTCCAGCACTGGAAAAATGGAGGCCGTGGATCAGAATTTAAGGCTCATGCTCAGCCACAT